ACACACACACACACACACACACACACACACACACACACACACACACACACACACACACAAAGACCTCCCACCTCACACACACACAAAGACACCCCCACCCACGCACAGACACACAGTCACACACACATACATATATATTTGATGCTGTTGCTTCAGTGGGACCAAAGATGAGTGTGGCGCCGGCCGACGTGACCGTACTGAGGGGTGAGGCCGCTGCCCTTCACTGTGAAGCCGACGGAGTGCCGACGCCCACAATCTCATGGAGGCGTGGCAAGAACGAGATCACGCCAGGTGGCCGGCTGCACATCCTCAGGTAATGACGTCACTACCCAGGTGTCTCGTGCTGGCGTACAGTCTCATTTATCCTCCTGTTCACCAATCTGTTTCGTCATCTCGTGCAGTGCTTGCTTCGTCTGTCTTCTTGGTCCTATAGTTTAGTCTTGGTGGTTCTAGATAATCATTGTTGCGGCACGTCCTAAAAACGATTCTTTGCTACTTCTTTCTTCTTCTTCTTTGTCGTAGTCTCTCGCGGATGGTCCACGCTGAGACGTCAGCTAGGGGCTGACCTTCCTGTTGATGATTCTTCTACACCTTCCTCTATCGGCCGTATCGTCCTCCGTTACTCCAAGCCTTCTCATCTCCGCCTCCACTCCATCCCTCCATCTAATTCTCTGTCGCTCTCTCGTTCTTCTTCCTCTGACCGGCTTCTGCCATGCTCTCCTCGTTTGCCCCTCATCTTCCATCCTAAACACATGATCATACCATCTCATCCTATACTTTGCATTACAACTTCCTTAACGTCTCTTACTCCAGCTATTCGTCGTACCTCCTCATTTGTTCTTCTTTCTCTCAGTGAAACTCCCAGTATCCAACGCGACATCATCATCTTGGCAGTGCATGCGACGTGCAGTAAAGTGTTGATGTACGATAAACAGTTTGCTCGTTTGATTAATTTGCGATGGATTGATTACAATATTAAAAATGAATTAAGGCGGTTTTAAAGATTTTAATACCCTCTATAATTCGATATATTGATTTCCCGTACAAAGCTCTAAAAGAATGTATTGATAATTGATAATTAATATTCCATAATATGATTAATTGAATGTGATGATGTGATTGATTGATAATATGATATGATTAATGAATAATTGATAATGTAATGATGTTATGACAAAATGACATATAGGACACTATCTATATGTCTGAGGAAATTAATTTTTAATTAACTAATATAATTAACATCTCACTCACAGCCTAGCTCCCATATATAATATCTCGTGGATTCATATCTAAATGCTTTGTGCGTTTTCTGTAGTAACGGCACACTTATAGTGTACAACGCAGAGCCGGAAGACAGCGATATCTACCTGTGTATGGCTAGAAACAACATTGGCTCCGTCATAGGCGAGGCCACGCTCACAGTCAAAGGTATATGCGTGTCGATTTACAAGCAACCGATCTCATAAATAGAAAGTTATGTACTTTTCCCGTTTGAGTTACATAGATATATGATTTACTGATCGTACTATTAGTATAATGAGAGCTTTAATGTATTAAGCCTTATTGTATTATTAAGCTTTATTGTATGTATTTAGCTTTATTTTATGTATTAAGCTTTATTGTATAATGATAGCTTATCATGCTGACTCATAATCAAGGGGAGTGTAGAAGATTTGCACGTTACAAAGCACACGTGAACTTTTCCCCCGCATCGCGCAGTAAACGGTGGCTGGAGCCAGTGGAGTCTGTGGAGCTATTGTAGCGCCACCTGTGGAGCCGGTACGAAGTCACGCAGCAGGGAGTGTACCAAGCCGGTGCCTGCCAACGGAGGCATGCCGTGCTCGGGAGAAGTGCAGCGGACTGACCAGCAGGGCAGCATGCGGTCACATAGACTGCGCCGTGTTATGTGTCCTATAGATAATAAAGGCGTGTTCTAGAAACCGCAACATCTCTGATAACTGCAGGACACACTAAGCTTTGACTTAAGTCGATAATAAGCTGATGAATTAGAGGTTGGGGTGGAGCAGTAGCATAAGATGGCCATCTTGCTGTCTTTCCTCTCTTTTTTACTTCATTCATTATCTTCATCATCATCATCATCTTCTTCGTCACCATTTGCAGTTGAGAGGGCTTTTAACGAGTAACCTGTTTCTCTTCTATACTTTGGCAAGAAACGATCAGGTCTCTGGCTAACAAGTGCGAAGAGCAATACGCTAGGATTCCAAGTTACTTCACCATCATCACCATCATCATCATCATCATCATCATCATCATCATCATCATCATATCATCATCATCTTACAGCAAGCAAGATCAGCAAGGACAGCTTTCGATAACAGCATGAAACGCTGGGTCATTAAAAACGTGTGCTTCTTTCAGTGGATGGACAATGGTCAAACTGGCAGGAATGGTCCGGCTGCACTCGCACGTGTGGCCGAGGGTATAGAAGTCGTCAGCGCATGTGTGATGACCCTTCGCCACAGAACGGTGGCGGCTACTGCGGCGGAATCAGCAACGAGAGGGAGCCGTGCCACAACAACCCCTGCCAAGGTATGCCATGTTGTCACAATGTATGTCATGTCACAAACACGCCCTGCCAAGGTACGGCCATGTTGTCACAATATATGCCGTGTCACAACAAGCGCCCTGCCAAGGTACGCCCATTCAATATATTCCCGTGCCACAACAACCCCTGCCAAGGTACGCCATGTTGTCACAATGTATGTCATGTCACAATAACCCGCGCGTGGCAAGTGTACGCGCATGTTGTCGACAGATATAATCCGTGTCAAACAACCGCCTGCCAAGGTACGCCATGTTGTCAAGCAGATAATATGCCGTGTCACAACAACCCTGCCAAGGTCCGCCATTTTGATCACAGATATATGCCGTGTCACAACAACGCCGCTGCCAAGTACGCCATGTTGTCACAATATAGTGCCGTGTCACAACAACCCGCAAGGTACCCCTGTTTGTCACAATATAGCCGTGTCACAGACAACCCCTGCCAAGGTACGCATGTTGTCAACAATATATGCCCGTGTCCACAAACAACGCCCTGCCAAGGTACGGTACCCATGTTGTCACAGATATATGCGTGTCCACACCACAACCCCCTGCCAAGGTACCCAATGATTGTCACAATGTATTCGTGTCACAACAACGCCCTGCAAGGTAACGCCATGTTGTCAAATGTATGTCGTCGTCACAACACCCCTCCAAGGTAACAGCCCATGTTGTCACACAATGTATGCCGTTCACAACACCCCTGCCAAGGTACGGCCAAATGTTGTCAGAATATAATGCCCGTGTCACAACAACCTGCCCTGCCAAGGTCGCCATGTGTCACAATAATATGCCGTGTCACAGACAACCCCTGCCCAGGTACGCATGTTGTCAGCAATATAATGCCGGGTGTCACA